AAACTAAGTCATTCCCACTCCCATTTCCTGTCTCTACCCCTACCCTGAGCAACCTCTGATCTGCCTCTTGTCACGATAGTTTAGTTTAACAGAAGGGGTTTTTAATCCCATTTTGTTGATTTTTGTGTCTCCAACACATAAGATGGTGCTTGGCATGTAGTAGCCACTCAATACATCCTTGCTGAATGACTTCCTTAATAAATGAGGAATTAGAGATGATTAAGAGCTGTCTTCTGTCATCAAGCAGTTCACCCTTAAATGGAAGAGACCTGTGTAAACAATAGTTACAACTTGCCATTATTCTCCAACTTCCACAAGACCTCTGCAAGTGGTGAGGTGAGAACACACACATTTAAGTAGGAGAAAGTTGGAGGTCTCTGCTGTCAGATGGATTTGAGTTCAAGAAACAGCTCTACTTCTCAAGCCTTTTAGATCTCAGGTAAATCCCAATTCCTCTGAGCCCCTTTTCCTTTTATAAACCCTATGTAAGAGTAGTACCCACCATCCACCGTGCCGAAAGGATGAAGTGGGATAAAGTTTGTCAAGGGCATAGCACAGTGCCTGTGCACAGTGTGTACTCAACAAACTTTTGCTATTAACATTATTAACCATGCAAAGAACACGGCTGAGGACCCACTCTATAATAGGAATACAGTAAAATCCTTGATTTTGTGAGGGTAAAGCCTGGAAAGAGTAGCAGAGGTTGCCGAAGTCAGGACTAGCTAGTTGATGCTGCAGTAACAAGTGATTCCAAGGTCTCAGAGACCTCAAGTGCTGAAGTTGTTCATTTCTCTCTCATTTCTTATGCATTCTGTGTTGGTTCCCGCACAGCTCCACTCCATTCGTTTCTGGGTCAGGTGGCAGTGTGGTTTCTGGCTAGGGCACTGCCAACTTGGTAGCGGAGGAAAGAGAGCATGGTGAACCGTGCCTGACTGTGGAAGTGTGGTGCCCCAGTGACTCACACATCCTACTTCACTGGCCTGTGCAAGTTACACGGCCAAATCTGAGAGAGGCCAATGGATCAGAGGAGTAGAATTTTTCCCAAAAGGGAAGAGGGGAATATTTGTGAACAATGGTATGGTGTACCGCAGACATGCGAGCCCACAGTTACAGAATGTGAAGAGTCTTGCACACTTCTGCTCTGCGTGCCAGGAAGGGACAGGGCTGGCTGCCTGGAGGGGTGAGGGGAAGTCAGGGAAAGCTTTATGGAGAAGGTGACATGTAATTGGATCCTGAGGAAGAAGTAAGAATTCACCAGGCAGAGAAAACAAAGGAACATTTAGGGGACATGAAAAAGGTAAATGCCAAGAAAGCCTGCTGTGCCCTGGGTGGCTGAAGCTGGCTGGAGTGAGGTTGGAGTGCAGGTGGGCTGGGCTGGCACATGGCTGTTCCAGCCACAAGGCTATAAGGCTAAGGATTCCCACTTTTCCTTACAGGCGATGGTGAGGCACTGAGCTTTCTGACCAAGGAAACATGACTTGGAACTTGAAGGAGCCGAATGGAGCGACGTTTCCTCCTAAGTGCTGACAAGTAGCCAAATAAAAGGGGGCTCTAAATCAGAGGGAGACCTCAGGAAGAGGCGAGGTTTTCTGCAGGGTGACCCACCTAGGAAGGTCCCTGGGGAGCCGGTGCCCACTTGGGCTGCAGATCGGGGTGCCAGTCCCGCGGGCGCTGCCTGAGAGCCGCGGACCCGCCTGACCCCGCGCCCGCCCCCCGCGCCGCCCTGGCCCCTCCCCGGGCTCCGGAGACCTGGCGTGGCGGATATTTGTCTGTGATACGATTGTAATTTGGGCCCCTTTTGGCTGCAGTAAATTGTCCTGTGTGCCCAGCGCCAGGCTGAAATAGCCCGGCGCACGCGCCCCAGGAAATGAGCTCAGGGCCGAGCCGCGGGCGGCGGGGAGCGCGCGGCGCCCGGCGGCCGCGTGGGAGGCGCGGCTATTTTTTCATTTGACCGACTTCAACAGGTAATTTCAATTATGAGCATGAAAACGTGCCCCAGGCTCTGTCTGCCACCGAAAACCCAGAGAAAATTGGGAGACGTCGCGCTGGGGACTCGGAGGCTGCGGCATCTCCGTTGGGGACCTGGGCGGGAGGATGGGGAGGAACCGAGCCTTGGGCTCAGGTGCGCCGCTTCTGCCCCCTCCCACGGGGCGGTAAAGAGGGTCAAAATCCCGGGGGATCAAGGACCATTTTACAAAAACGGATCTCATAGGATGTCTCTAGAGCCATGGAAAAGCACCTTTGAAGCAGGGTCGCATCCCCTTACCCTTCCCTGCAGGTAACTGCCACCTGATCTATTCTCTCCAGGTTCTGGCCCATCAGCCTCCACGCACAGAGACCACAGCACATACACGGCCCTGTGTGCCTTTCTGCACCCGCTTTGATTTCCTAAATACTCTTGCTTGTTGCTACACAATTTTCAATCCACCATTTTGACTAGCAGGATAGTATTTCATTGGCTGGGCATCCCATAATTTATGGGCCCCTTCCCCTTCGTTGGTGGAAGTTGTCTCTAGTTTTTCCCTATTATAAATAACACCCCAATAAATGTCTTTGTGGATAGGAAACTATTCTCTCTTCCTCATAAATTATTTCCCTAGGATTAATTCCCAGGAGGAAGATGACTGGGTCAAAGGCTGTGAAAGTTTTTATGTCACTTGATATTGTTGCCAAATGGCTTTACAAAAAGGGTTGTGTCTGATAATTTACAGTTTTCAAAGAAGGAACTAACCAAATGTGTACAATGTACTTCCCTATGCACACACAAAGGGCGTGGCCCTGGGAGACCCAAGGAACAGGTGCCTCCAAGTGG